ATGTAATTATCGAGTAAGATTTTAGTCCACTAAAACGACATAGTATACAACAATTTACCCGGTAAGTGTTTACTGTGGTAAGAGTCGTCGCCCTCATTTACCGGGTAAGACTCTTGGTCCTTACTATATTMATCCGATGTGATAATATTACTTGGTAATCGCTTACCCGGGTAAGCGTTTGGTAAACGGTCCCTTATTAGCTTTTAGACACTAACATAACAATCAAAAGTGTCTTATTAACTTTTAAAAATTAACACGACACTTAAAAATGTCCTATTAATTTCTAAAATAATTTGAATTGAAAAGCGTCATATTAGACTCTAAAATAATTTGAATTGAAAAGCGTCGTATTAGACTTACATGATAGGACACTAAAAGACATCAAAAGTAAAAGTCATATTAAACTAAATCAAATAGGACTACTAAAATAATATGTCGTATTAGTCTTTTTTTTTTAAAGGGCGGGTCTTGAAAAGTGTCCCAAAAAAGTGTCCTATAAACCTCTTTTTGTTGTAGTGTGTCAACCCAAGATGCCAACAATGTATAAAGTCTTAATAGACTGTTTATATATATGACCAAACAATAAAGTTTTTATCTAAAAGTGTTGTAATAAGTTTATTTGATGCTTTTGAGCGTCTTAACAAAATTTTTAGATCTTTAAAATAAAACGTCATATTAGTTATTTTACAGGACACTATTTGAACAAACCACTACAACAAAATTAGGTTTATAGGACGCCCCTCTCTCTCTAATCGTCCCAATAAACCGCTTTATAGGACTTAATTTATATGATCAAAATATAAAACGTCCTATCGAAAGGCGTTGTAATAAGTTTATATGACGCTTTTGGGCGTCTTAACAAGTTTTTTAGAAAAATTTTAATACAAAGGAACGTAACTCAGTTAATTTTTTAAAATATGAGACGATATATGTCAAAGCACCAAACCATAAGGACAGAAAATGTAATTCACTCCACTTATTTTGATCAATGATAACTTTGTTGATTCAATTCATGGTACAAATTATAAAAATATGATGAGACAAATGATAAAGTTTTTTGGATCCTTTAAAAAAGAGAGACAAGTTTGGAATAAATAAACCAAATATGATTCAAATACCATTTACTCATTTATTTAATTACTAGAATGGTACTCGAACAATGTAGCAAGATACATCTTAATTTTAGTGTTTCGTTTATTTTGTCTCCGTCGATATTATAGTATGATTCTATGTGGTACCAAAAAAAACGACAATGTTTTTGTTTTTTGAAAAAAATATAAATTTGAAAATATCATAAAATTTAAAAAAAGAAAATGTATCAATTTTAGTATCAAATTAAATATTTAAAAGTTCTTKTTTTTTTGTGTGTAATTTCTTTAATTTCATTTTTTATTGTAACTAAATTTAGATTTAATAATGAAGTCATTTATTTTTTGTTTAATAATATATTTTTTTATAAATATAATCAGATTAAATGTGAAACTGAGTCAGAAAATAAAGACCATCTGTTTGATCAAAAGATATGTAAAAGATTCCTCGAGCAGTAATATATCGTTTTCATTTTTTTACATTTAAATATTTAGTTGGTTCAAGAAGTATATATATATA